CATCACCAGATTCGGCCTTGTTCAATCACATGTTCCTATCGAAACTGTACGTAGTTCGTGTGCTGTCTAACAAGATGCTGTCTGTGACAGTTTGTTGCTTTGCCTTTGAATGGCAGGATTTTTGCATAGTTGTTGGTGATACACTTGTCTTTTTCGTGCTGTAAACTCTAGACTTTGAGAGTACACACAGCTTCCATTCTCTTCTGACTGCTCAAAACCGGTACGGAAAGATGTCGTCTCAGACCTCAGACCAAAAAGAACTCGCCGCAGCTTCGGCTTGCCTCAAGATCTCCCCAAAGCCCACAGCGTCCTTAAAGGGAAAGCTGTTCAGACAGCCCAAATCCGTGAAGCCGAAGCCCCATCCTACAAGCTTCCCAGGTTAGCCGACGCCCTACACCAGCTCGGCGTCTTTGATGCTGCCTTGTCTCATGCCGAGATTCTGCCAAGCCATTCTTGACAAAAGGTTCAGGTTGGGCTCCTATGAGGGCCTAAACCCCAGGCGCAGGTTTCGGCTGCGTATGGGCATGATTACGTTCAACACACCCACCCATAGGATAAAAGCTTAGTGGCAGTGCCCGGCAGGCTTGGAGTTCTCTACTTTGAATGGAAGGGCTTTGCCTTCACGATCGCCCATCAGAAAAATCCAACAGCCCAAAGTCAAATACTTGTCGGGGGAACCTGGAGGAGGGGATATGAGTTGTACATGCCTGCGCTCTGCTTTTCTGTGAGGGTTTGTGTGGGCAAGTAAGGTATCCCATGAATAGCATTCGCATCAACGGCTACCGGCACTCTTCTCAGCCTGTGCCAACCTGGTGATGGATGCATGAACCCTGTGCTTGCAGACTGAACTGGGTCCCAAGGCCTGGGCAAGGCATTCATCCACACTGCGATGGGCCGGTGTACTACCCGAAAGAAGCCCCTCCTTGTTTGGGATTTAGTCTGGGCCAGCACATGCTAGACAGATTCCGCCAATGTGTTGTTGAGTGCTAGAACTTGCTGTCTTCCTCAGTAGCATGGCACTTCTATTCATCACAAGTGTTGAAGCCCATTCCCGTTGCCTTCAAGGGTTGGCCAGTTTTGGGCATTGCTTGCGCAACCTCAGCCGCCAAGTTCTGCTTAGCTAACATCAGAGCAGAAAAGCACGCCATCCACTCTCCTGTGCCAATCTTCAGCCCAAGAACCTGAGTCACAAAAACAGTCGTTGAACGGATTTCAGGGGGGGGATGTGTTTTTCCACTGCAGCACGGAATCAAGTCGGCTATTCGACTCTGTTGTCATGAGCGGCTGTTAAGGCAGCACTTGCCAGCCATGCGCCGCCTCAATTTTTTTGACCGACATGTCGTGAAGGAGGACTGGCAGAAGTGTCATGAGGGTCACGATATCGTCTGCATGGTAGCATGTCAGGCAGCCGCTGAGGCATTAGCGAAACATGCTGGAACATCCTTGGATGTCCGGCTGCTGGGCCTCTTTGAAGTTGCTTTTGACCCCAAGGAGGGATCTGATGTTCATCCAGGCATCCAGCGCCTCAACGCCACTCTCCGGCAACGTTTGAGAAGCACAAAGTCCGCTTGAACACGACTCAGTTCGACCTCGCCAAACCAACCGCCAAGTCCTTCTGTTTCCGCTCTGGAGTGGTTCGCATGTATTAATCATTCTTACGTCTGTTCAGTTCAGCACATAAGCGACAACTCAGGCCAGAGGCAGGAATGAGCGCATTCGGTAAGCGGTAGCCAGACACCTCCCTGGCCGCTAAGCCAAGGCTTGCACAGTCTCGATAGATAGAGCGGTCAGAGGCGACTCCCTACCCGGCCCCAACCGAGGTTTTTTTTTTTTTTGCAGAAGGTTAGAGGAGTACGCGCCCTAATTAAGTTGCAAAGGTGGAAGCAGCTGCAGGAGCAGCCGCCTCGCGGCCACAACCAGTATGTGCTCAAGGGAGGGCAGATCCATTATGGCTATCCCTGCACCTTGACACAGAAATCTGATGGCAGGTGAAAGGACGCATAAGCGTCCGAGGACAAGAGGTCACGGCTCCATGAACTACCACGAAAGCCCGCCCTCAAACAAAACAACTGCAAACAAATGGCAGGGCAGAAGGGATGTAACCGGCAGGACCATCCCGTCCTGAAAAACCGTCCCCTCAACAACCCTACACTGCCGCCAATCCTGGGCCGTCGATCGCTCTGAGAGCCTAGAGTACAACGGCCACATCCGAGCCTCAAGTGCCGCAGCTACTTCGTTTGCCCTTCAGCAGATGTCAAGGAACAACCCGGGAACTTCCGCAGACTCAGGGACAATGTGTAGCACAACATCATGGTCATTGAAACCGTATCGCGGCGCAGCCCTGTCTGGCAGCAACTGAGTCGCTTCACGTTGCCAACGGCGAAGTCTACAGGATCCGCGAACACGCCTGGGTCCCACACACCAGGCTCCTGCTTGGACACGCGCCTTTCCGGTTCAGAAGCCTTCTCAGACGGCCTTATCCACCAGTGTGCAACCAATACACACACGAGGAGGATGCCAAAGAAGAGAAACACGCCACCACTTCTGCTAACGTTGTGTTTCTTGCTCCACCATAGCTCTAAAGGCATATTCTCAAGAATGAAGCTGCTGATGAAACTAACTGCGCTCGAGCACATGTGCAGGGAGAAGCCGGCAAGGGCCTTCTTCAAGAACGTGCTCTTGCCGAAGTGCTTCGAGTCCGCGGCAGTGGAAGCTTGCTCATGGTTCACATGCCAAAGCCCAGGCTTGCCGAAGAAATCACGCATGCTGTTGCCCATGCCTGTGACGCATACACCAGGAAAGCGGCCAGAAAGCAAGCTGACGGAAACTGTCTCACATCCAACCTCGCCGGGGTTGTTGGGGATCAGGAACTTGGATGCAGCGCTGCCCGCTACGGCCGACTTGTCAGGAGACTGGTCAAAGGAGACCTCACGCGGAGCTACGTGCACAAGCATCGACCCCCAGCCTGCAGCAGGCGTCGCGTCATGCAGCTTGATGAAAAGCTCACGCCCTCTAGAATGGGGTTTCTTAGCGAACGGTATCAATTCCCACGTTCCAGCATAATCCCGTGCAGCGGGCTTGGGGCAACTTCTGTTGACCCCCTCGGCCGTTGGCAAATTCAGCTTGCGCACGGACATCTCAGCCATCTGTCTGATTGCAACCTTATGCGTAGACAAATCCGCGCCCGTCCTGTCTTGCAGACACATGCGGAGTTCACGCAGTGAAATCGTCCCTCGGCCAGCCATAACAGCTGCTACTGCACCATCGACCGCCTCCTGCGTTAGGAAGCCGTCGCCCAGCCAAACGTCATCTGATTGGCCCATGGCTCGTAAACAGCGAGCGTCCAACGCGCTCTGGGGCTACAGGCAATGTAGACCGCTAATGGTCACTCGATCCCAAGCCCTCAACCGAGGTTGAAGGACTGACTGGCGGATTTGGGGCCTAGGAGCGTTCAGGGTTTTCAGAATAACCCGGATACACATCGGAACAAGGACGCATGAAGGCACCACCCGCGGCCAGAGTGCCATGAAATTTCTAGCCTGACTTTGTCTCAGGTGACTGCTGCTTGTGGCAGCCCCAGCAGCCTCTGGCTGGGCGAAGCCAGAGGCGACGTGAGGCCTTCAAGGGTAAGGAGGTTCCTTTCGATGTAAGCCCGGAGATGCTGCTTGTGACCACAAGCTGTTGCACGCTCTACCCCAGCAACGACTTGCAGTGGTATGGCCTTCTGTAGGTGTGGGATCGAGATTGTATTTCATTGTTCTTTGTGGTGGCTTGGACATGCGATGGAAGCCCGAAGTTTCTCTTTCATGCTCCGGCTCTCCCCCCCTTTGCCCCACGGCTAGGCGCCTCGACCACCAGTCCAAGCTTTCTGCTCCCTTGCGCGTCTTCGATCGAGAGCTGATCGGTTTGTGTGCTCGGGCCACGGGACGGTCAGTAGCTGTCAGTGGTCTCAGAAGCGTCCGAGGTCCCTTCAGGGCAAGGATTCGCAGGCACAGTTGGTGTGAGTTTGAGAGTACATACTAAAAAGTGGTTTGGAAAACATGCAATGCATCAACTGAAACGAGTGCTTTGATGCGTCATTGGAGTGCTCAATTTAGCTCGCGCGTGCGTGCGTGCGCGCGTGTGAGTGCGCGTGCGCGTGCGCGTGCGCGTGCGCGTGCGCGTGCGCGTGCGCGTGGCGCGTGCGCAGTAGCTGGCGTTGCGCGTGCGCGTGCGCGTGCGCTGGCGCGTGCGCTTGGCGGTGTGCGTGTGGCGTGCTTGCGTGCGTGCGTGCGTGGGTGTGGTGATTTCGGCGTGCTGCGTGCGTGCGTGCGTGGGTTGGGTGTGTGTGTGTGTTGTGTGTGTGTGTGTGTTTGTGTGTGTGTGTGTGTGTGTTGTGTGTGTGTGTGTGTGTGTGGTGTGTGTGTGTTGTGTGTGTGTGTGTGTTTGTTGTGGTGTGGGTGGTGTGTGTGTGTGTGGGGTGTGCGTGTGGTGCGTGTGGGTGCGTGTGGGTGCGTGGCGGGTGCGTGCGGGTGCGTGCGGGTGCGTGCGGGTGGGCGTGTGGGCGTGCTGGTGCGTGCTGGTGCGTGCGGGTGCGTTGCGGGTAGCGTGCGGGTGCTTGCGCGTGCGTGCGTGCGTGCGTGCGTGCGTGCGTGCGTGCGTGCGCGCGCGTGCGTGCGCGTGCGTGCGTGTGCGTGCGTGTGCGTGCGTGCGTGCGTGCGTGTGCGTGCGCGTGCGTGCGGCACTTCAATCACAGCTGCTTTGACATGTGCAAAGTGACGGTTGTGTATAACATGCCTGCTTTCATGGTGGCCCATATGCACAAGAGAAAGGTTGTGGAAACAACTCAAAAAACTCTCGAACCATGCGCAAGACAAAAGTAAAAGCATTCACTTCATGATGCAGACCAAGGCAAGCTGCCTCGGAAAAAGTAGGCGTAAATCAGGCGCCAGCCAAAGCGTGCGGTCGCCTCAGCAAAGGCTACAAAAAGGCCGAGCTGAAACCATGCGCAATGCTTGACAATGTCAGCACATGGCTCGGCCGTCTCCTCCAATAGCAGCGGGGTTGCATCTGACAGCGATGCAGAACAAGAGGGCTTGCAGGCCTTCACCGTTTCTTCTTCATCCTCCTCCTCAAGCGGGCATGTCCCACACGAGGAGACTGACGATGATGTCATTTTGCAGGACAATCTTGCACGGTACTGTTTGGAAAACTTTGAGGCGGGTGTCAAGGATCATACCCTCGAGCAGTTGCACTTGCCTGACGAGTGGATTGAGGAGATCAAAATCACCTGGCACGACTTTATCGAGAAGGCTGGCTCCAGGCAGGCAGCTGGAGAAGCAGTCTGGGATGCAATTATGGAGCTCTCGCCTGGCATTCGGAAAGCCTTCAGCTTTGCTCGGCAAGTGTTTGCCATGCGTTTCATCAACGGCACAAGCAGCATCATCACGGATTGTGGTGAGCCGCGGACTTTAAAGGACAAGGCCGAGAGGCTTGCCTTCCAGCATATTGATACTGTCGACCGTGACTATGTAGAGACCTTCAGCAATGGTATAGCAGTGGCCATGGATGGTATACTGGGCCGCCGCTTCTCGCAGCTCTCCTACCAAAGCTTTCGGGTTCTCTGGAACTACATCGGCGGGGTTTTCTTGTACGTGAAACGCGAGTACGGCGGCAGAGTCAAGCGAATCATCAAAAGTTGGCAGGTCACGAACAAGAACGTGGGCAAGGATCCTGCAACGGAGAGCGTTGGCAAGGATCTTCCTGCAGCTTCAACGCAAAGTGAGGAGGCACCTGGGTCCCGGGAAGCGAAAAGCCAGAAGAGGATACAGACTCCAGAGACCTTCAAGGACATGTTCATGTTTAATGCTTCAATCATGGGCTTTACAGACTCGGAGTGGATGAGCTCTACTCTGGATGCCCTTGGAGCTATGGCCACCAACGCCGACAAGCCCTACCGAGTACAGGAAGAGTGCCACGTCTTGGCCTTGGTTCTTTGCCGGAAGTACTTGAAAGGAAAGCAAAAGCTCTCCTTGGCCCCTTTCAAGGCGGTTCTGCGACTTGGACCGAACATTCAACTCAACCCACGCCCTGCGATGGGATCAGAAGCCTAAGCAACAGCATCATGGTTGTGTCACACCACACGCAATGCAACTTTTGATGCTGACCTTAAGATTGAGGTTGGCATCGCTTCGCTCCGTGATGCCAGAAGAATGGGACACTTTGCCTCTGCAAGTTACGGGGCACCGCAACACAACCTTAAAAGGACTTTACGACCGAATGACAATCGCCTTGAACTCTACTATTGTTTATGGTTTGCATGACGCGCTTTTAGTGTTGTTGCTATTCTGATTTTGCGGACAAAAGTTACAGGTACCACTGTATTGTCTTTACCATGACCATGCTCTTGTTTTTGCTTTTGCTACTCCTGTCCCCTGTTGCTACTACTCTTAATAGTATGTTACTATTGCTATCATCCGACGCATGCCCAAGAAGGTCCTTTCTTCATTCAAGGGACCCGAACAGGATAGTAAGCCACGCTCACGACCCTCTCGCTTATTTTCGCTTTTGAGGATATGGATCTCGAGGATGCTTGGAGCTGGTTCTGGGGAGAGATCGCCCGTATGATCTCGGGAGTTCTAGGCAAATTGTGACCTGGCTTAGACAAGGCTTTCGATCTTTGCCATTGCCATTCCGGTTAGGGCTTAAGGTTAGGGCTTAAGTTTAGGGTCTAGGCTGGTCTTTCAATGCTGTTGTATGAGACTGGCTGGCAAGTTGCTAGGGTAGTGCGGCAACTTCATGCAGATGCAGCTTCCATAGTTCAAAAGCGCCGCGGTCTTGTCAGGATTTGCTTCTTCGTTCAAGATACGTGAAGCAAGTCATCATAACTAAGCTGTTCAAGCTATGCACCGGGCTGCGTTGTCTACCAGGTCACGGTACAAGCGCAACCTGAAGCAGCTCGTACCGTCGTTGTCAGAGAAAGATCTCTGGGACTACCGCGAGAAGATTTTTGAGAACTTCTTTGAAACAACTCCGCGAGCCCGGGACTACTTGAAAGTATCGACGACAAGGTTATTCTTCGTGGTCGATCGAATCCTCATGTTGACGATTCATATTCATGAAGAACCTGCCGAATATGTGCAGGAAATTTCTGCTGTCGGCCTGAAGCATGTAGGTCCCTCGGCAGAAAGTTTCATTACTCAGCGAGAGTTAGGCGGCTAAATCTGCCTTTTTCCTTGACTCGTAGGGCTCTGTTCTTGGCCTCTGCGTTCCTGTTGGTGGCATTTTGAAAGCCGCTTGTCGTTATCTGTTACTGTCTTTCCTTGTTGCTCTGTGTGTCTGTGTGTGTGTGTGTGTGTTTCTGTTCTTCACTTTCTACTTGCTGTTGCTAAGGCAAGTCAGAGTGAACCGGGAGCGCGAATGAAAGGGTACTGGGTGCCAACACTGCCGGGCCAAAGCCATGGCGAACCTCAACCCTAAACCCCTCAATTTTGGCCATGTCCCTTTCAGGAGGGGTGGGGATGGGACATGGCGCTGGCATGTTCATGATTCATGATCGAGTGGCCAAACGAAGCCGAAGGCGATGGGACACGTCTCTAATGTCTCTGATGTGCATTGACTTTTGCCATAATATGTGGTCTCCCTGCCCTCAGGGGTTTCTCAGGGACTTTTTTTAGAACCCCCTCCCGCCAAACAATCTCAAACATTCAATTAACCCCGCCTATGTGAAACACCCTGTAGGACTGTAGGAGATATCATACGCCTTCAGAACTGGGCTCGAATCGTACACTCCGCATGGCCAAGTGGCAGTGGGGAGCTCGGGTGGTGTCCAGTGGGGGGGGTATTTTGGGATGCCTTCCGCGTGCGCTGCAGAAATTCCGCACCCTTTGCGGTCACCGGCAATAGGGGTCTATGTGTCTGAGGTATGAATATTCCGAGCGAGTTCTTTGCTCCCTTGGCGGATGCAGTGGTGGAGTCCATCGAGCCCTATGTTGACGAGCGCCGGCCTTTGTGCTTGGAGGCCTTCAGATGGCCTCTCGGGCCAGTGTTTCAGTTCTGTTTACTTTTTTCTGACATGTTCTTCGCCCATGAGCCCGGCCTTTAAACGGTACTCATTGCATGATCCGGCAGCAGACGGCACCAGGCAGCCCCATCTTGGCCGTGTTAGTTACTGTTAGTTGGGCCCTGGTTTCTTTTTTGGGATGGATGGGCCGGGAAGCGGGGGGGGGGGGGGTGGGCGCTGACAGCAGGACCATGTCGCTCTTTGCCCAGATCATGACTCGTGTGAGCCTAGAAGGTTCCACATTGGTGATGAAGGCTGTGAGCCAGAACGATGCAGTGTCTCTCAGGAGCGCGCTTGCGACCGCGCCTCGCAAGAGGAGAATGCAGGACGTCTTGTCTGTCACAGTGGGATCTCAGTCGATCTCCCCGCTCGATTGGTCCATAGATACTGGTCACCTGGATTGCGCGACTACAATCATCCAAGATCTGCTGACCATCCGTGGTGACAGGCAGGTGTACTACTATGGTTGTGACGCGCTCTTCGAGCGTCACCCGGACTTCATCTCCAAATTGAGCGTCAACGCCCCGGCTCTCTTATTTACACTGTTGGATGGTCTCATCTGGCGGTCACGAATCGTGGAAAGGGATCTGCGCAGAGCGATTTACTACATCAAGAACCTGATACAGGACTGCTTGATGTGATGCATTGAGGGGCCCTGACGGGGCCTGCAAGCCTACAAGCAGGATGTGCTGTGCATCGTTTGCGCTGCATGCGCTACGCAGGACGGGTCAGGCAACTTCAGTGAGAACATCGAACGCCTTGCCGAGCATGGAGATCCAAAGGCGGAAATATCCGGTATGAAGATATCCTAGAATTTGCAACGTGGTCTTTTGTTGCAGAGTTAAGGTTTTTATGACCTTCTCGCATCGGCCCCGCCTCTCACACCGTCCCCCACAAAACACAGCTGACCACCTTGCCAACTGTACCGATGAGATTGGCAACGCCAGGATACAATCTCAAAGCGAGGTTCTGGGTATAGTTCTTGCAGAGGTGTGCAGGATTCTCTGCATGCTGTGCGTAAATTCCGTTTCATGCTCAGATCGCGATTCAAGCCTTGCACTTCAAGCGCGCCACGATTCAAGCACTGGCATTCAAGCACCCGAGCGGTTCACGCGCTGGCGACTCAAGCACGAATCCTGATTCAAGCAATTCTGATTCAAGAACACTTCCTAGTTCAAGCACCGATTTCGGCCGCCGTGCCACCCAAGTCGCTGGCGATTTGTGCCTCCCTACCCATCCCAGCTGAGGGTTTTAAGACTTTAGGCTGAGGGCTTTTGCACACCAATCACGCTTCACGCTTGTCAGGGCTGAGGAGGGCTTCAAGGGGTGTGAGGCTGTAGGGTTTAAGAAGTGTAGGGATTTTGCAGACCACTCAGGGGTGTCAAGGCTGACTGCGGCTGTTCGGTGCGCGAATCCTGCGTGCGCGAATCTTCCCGGGTATAGAATGCGCCTTAAGCGGCTGCTGTGCGAATCCGCCTTTGCGCGAAGCCGCGAATCCGTGCGCGAATCTTGCAAGTCCAGTGCGCGAGTCGGTCCTTCCGGGACGCGATTCGGTTTCCTGCCCAAGGCATGCTCTGTTCATACAGAGGACACCTCCCACAGAGAAGGGGTGGCAGAGGAGCGTACCAGGGCTGAAACCTAAGTTTGCGACCCTACCAGCCATCAGCCAAGGGTCGCCTGCGGGTCGAACGACATGACGGTCAGTTTGTTGGAGCAAGGGTTCTAGTGCTGCATCTTACAAGAGTTCTAGGATAATCAGCCGCATTGCGTTTTGGGTTCGGACTTGGTGGCCTGAAAGTTATCCTTAAGGGAGGGGGTTCCCGCAGGGTTGGTGCCTAGGGAACCTTAAGAGAAGTTTAGGGAGTAGTGGGGAGTTTGAGGGGACCTTGGGTTACATGGCCCCCTGGGGCCCCCCCTGCCTGAAGACCCTTTAAGAAAGGGATGGCCGGAAGGTGATTGTCCATCCGTGCGCTACGGAGGCGATAGACTTGGTCTGGAATCGCTTAGACGCTTGCCGAGTGTTGCAATCAAGTCAATTTCGACAATGGGGGGGGGATACCCTTTCCACCTACCGTGTTTGAGGTTTTAGGAGAGCCACATACAGACTCTAAATCAAAACAAGCTACTTAGTGAATATGTTCCCCAGCTTTAGTAAGCTTGGCACCGGAATGTTGTCGCGTAGAGAGTCCCTTCAAACATCAGAGGGGATGATGGTGCAGTTGTTTATGGAGGTTCAGAGTTGGCTTTCCCGGTTTCAGGTAGGTGTCTCCTGCTCAAGACTGGAATACGTTTGCAACCAAGGTGATTTTCAAATTCCTGCTCCAGCGTGTATACTTCATCTTCACACTCGTGATTTTAGTCGCTGGCCAATCTTTTCTGCGGGGATTGACGACGCGCGAAGGCAACGCCGTTGTGGCTGTTTGCAGCTCGACTGCAGCATGGCAAGAGGCTACAATGCCTAGATCAGGCTTTGGGGTTTTTTAGGTTGACATGATCACCTGAGGTCGGGCCTCTGTGTACCTTTTCAGTCTTGGGCCACTTCTTTGTCAGAATGCTTTGCGCATCTTGCGGGATGTGATGGAGGGCGAGATAGAACGGACCTTGATAGGCCCCATTCCGGACTACATGCGCAGCTGGAAGGGGTTCAGCTCTGTAATGCTGCTTCTCGTGCTTATTGCAATGCTGAGCCTGGAGCCGGTAATTTGGTGCCTCCAGTATGGCATAAACCAGGACGATCTGTTCACGCGAATCTGTCCGAGGGCGGAACCCGTCCAGGATTGGTACTCGGCCATATCGGCTGTGGCCGTGCTGCTACACTGGTTCTTGTTATTGGATTTGACCACATTCTCTACAAAGGTGTCGGCTTTTCTCTTGGCTTGCCAACAAATGCTATCGCAAATCGTGCCTACTGCGGCAATGGGGTGCCTGTTGGTCCTAGCTTTTGCGACTACCATCAATACTCTGGCCCAAGTGCCAGAAGTGGACGGCGCGCAGGGCTGGGCCCTGACATTGTTGCAGGTAACGCTTGGAACGCTTCCCGACAGTGCTTGGTATCGCATCTATCCGGATACACCGGTTTTGGTCTTGCTTGGTGTGTTCAGCATCCTCATGGTCATGTTCATCTTGTGCCTTGGAATTGGTTCGGAGCGTGTTCAGCCTTGGACTACCTGTTTGAATCTGATTGAAAGTAATAAGAAGGCATATTAGAATGCTGACATCGCTTCTTAGATTCATGTGAAGGAACCTCTTTCTGGCACAGATGGTGGAGACGTACGGACGAAACTTTGCAGACTTGCAGGGCTTTGCTCGGCTAGACCGTGCATTCCTTGTAGCAGCAATGGCTGAGAGCATTCCGAGAAGGCGCGGCGCCGCATTCGTGAGAAGGTCAGGTCGGGTGTAGGGGGCCGTGTGGAGCTCTGATGATGCGGCTCAACAAGCTTATTGTCCTGTCACGGCAGCCCCCCCGTGTCCGTCCGAGCAGTGCCGCTGACGGTACATCTAGATATATGTATGATATAAGTTTAACATGTATAGATTATGGATAATATTCCTTATGTCACTATCCTTATTGTCACCATAGTCGTACCATAGCTTAATAGCCTTCATGGCCGCTCTCATGCTGTCTCGAGGCGTTGGAACACCTTTTTGGCAAACCTCCATTTCGAGGAGCTTTAGGAGGTTAGACTCAGAACCCATGAAACCCTAACCTCATAAGCCCTAAACCCAATTTTGAATCTGATGCCCCAATCCTCAACGATTGTCAGGAGCACTTGGAGTTCAGTCAGGGCGATCGAGGTCCTGCCGGAGGAGTCCAGGTTTTTGAGCCCGCCAATGCTCACATGGTGGTTCAGGACAGGCGGGGGGCGGGGCGGGGTGCGAGGGGAGGTCAGCTTTTAGCGGCACTTCTCTCTCCCTCCCTGCCTCCCTCCCTCCCTCCCGCCTCCCTCCTTGCCTCCCTCCCTCCCTGCCTCCCTCCCTGCCCTCCTTCCCTCCCTCCCTCCCTCCCTCCCTCCCTCTCTGCCTCCCTCTGCCTCTCTCTCTCTGCCTCCCTCTCTGCCTCCCTCCCCCTCCCTCCCTCCCCCTCCCCTCCCTCCTCTCCCTCTCTCTCTCTCCCTCCCCTCTCCTCTCTCCCTCTTCCTCCCTCCCTGCCTCCCTCTCTCTCCCTCCCTCTCTCTCTCCCTCTCTCCCTCTCTCCCTCTCCCTCTCCCTCTCTCCCTCTCCCCCTCCTCTCTCCCTCTCTCCCCCTCTCTCTCCCTCTCCTCTCCCTCTCTCCCTCTCTCCCTCTCTCCCCTCCCTCTCTCCCTCTCCCCTCCCTCTCTCCTCTCTCCCTCTCTCCCTCTCCTCTCTCTCCCTCTCTCCCTCTCTCCCTCTCTCCCTCTCTCCCTCGCTCTCCCTCTCTCCCTCTCTCCCCTCTCCCCTCTCCCTCTCTCTCTCCTCTCTCCCTCTCTCCTCTCTCCCTCCTCTCCTCCCCTCTCCGCCCTCTCTCTCTCTCCCTCTCTCTCTCCCTCTCTCCCTCTCTCCCCTTCTCCCTCTCTCTCTCTTCTCTTCCTCCCTCGCTTCCTCTTTCTCTTTCTCTTCCCTTTCGTCTTTCCTCTTTCCTCTTTCCCCTTTCTCTTTCCTCTCTCTTCCTCTTTCTCTCTTTCCTCTTTCCTCCTTCTTTATCTTTCCTCTTTCCTCTTTCCTCTTTCCTCTTTCCTCTTTCCTCTTTCCTCTTTCCTCTTTCCTCTTTCCTCTTTCCTCTTTCCTCTTTCCTCTTTCCTCTTTCTCTCCTCTCTCTGCCTGTGGAGCGGCGGATGGGCCAGCATGCAGGGTGCTGCAAATACTACGCCGGCCAGTGTTTCGAGTGCACCATATCAGTATATGGGCTGCGACGACAAGCCTGCTTGGCAAGACTGCGCCAGCAATCTCTGAAAACTGTTGCCACTGCATCACTTGTCTGCATGTGCCACTCACGCTGTAAGTTGTGAGAAAGGGACGGAGAAAGAGAGAGTGCACGCGACTTGCCCCCAAAGTGCTGCAAGCTGTTGGTGCACAACTTCCCCGAAACAAAGAGTGCCAACAAAGTCAGGTCTCTGCTCGGGGACTCGGGGAGTGGGCAGGGCAGGGTAAGCGCAAGTGGGGCAAGAGGGCAAGTGTGGTGCCAGCGACGCAGCGAGGCAAGTTGGGTTGGCAGGCCGAGTGGGGCAACGGCACTTGGCCCAAGCCCCCCCCCCCCCCCCACCCACACACGTACACTTAACCCTAAACAGGCCCTAAACCCCAGGACACTGTCCTGAGATTTGGCGGTTCTTCCTCGCCGGACACTCCCTGGCCTGAGCTCGAGGAGCACTACCAGGACACGGGAGGGCGGAGAGAACTCGACCACTACGTTCTCAGGTAGAATCTGCGGAAAACTCGGAAAACATATTTTTGTAAATGTTCTACCGGAAGTCACTGTAAGGACCAGAAAGCCTTACTGTAGAGATGCTACTCTGCAAGTAAGGCATCCCAACCGTGCATCTGGAAACGAAGACTGTGACCGTGTCCGCATGCAGGATCGCTTTGAACGCCTGGAGAAGATGCTCATCAAAGCCCGCCGTAGGAACAGGCAACCCATAATGCACTGCGCAATGCATGGCACTCGGGTTCGGTGGCCGTCAAA